CGGGCGGGGTGCGCTCCGCGGTCCTGCGCCGGGGCTGGTGGCCGAGCGCTGGCAGAAACCGTGTGCTGGAGGGGACTCCGGTGCTGTGGGGCCCCGAAACTGCCCCAGTGCGCGGCAGCCCGAGGAAATCATCACCGTGGGCACGTTCGGACAATGGTCAGCCAAAAGGCAGCTCCCGGAGGCTCTCTGTAGGGTGAGGCAGGGCTGGAGAAAGAAACCTCAGAGGCTGCCTTCGATGACTTGAGTTTGAAAGACAAGGAAAAGACAAACCAGCTGCTAATTGGATACTTTCAAACTGAATGATCTTGGTAGCCAGATGTTGGGATAACAAGGGCAACAGACAGCTAAGGGCAGGACAGAAGGAAGACTTAGGGTTGTTTATCCTTTGAAATCATAGAATCATAGAATGGTTTGGGTTGGAAGGGACCTTAAAGATCATCTGGTTCCAAATCCCCTGCCGTGAGCAGGGACATCTTCCACCAGACCAGACAGCTCAGACTCCATCCAACCTGGCCTTGAACACTTCCAGGGAGGGGGAAAATCTTGCGAGCTTTTTTCCAGCTGTAAGAAACCTTTCTGATACCCTCACGAGTGTGCAGAACCGTGATGTCACTGCTGCTGCGCAAAGGAGGGGGCCAAAGTTGGTTTTGTGAGAGAAAACCTAGCAGAAAGTATAAAGAGTGAATCAAAGAAGAGTTACTAGCCATGTGAAAAGTCACTAGGTGTAATTTTTCTGGAGCTTGAGCTCCAGAACATTTACAACATGGTAAAGAGTCTTTGCTTTTGCTTTTTAAAACATTGCCACCAAAAATACTACCAGAAAAGAACGCTGTGTTAAAGAGGGTGCGTAGGGAAGCTAGAAGGCGGTGAAATGCTATGCATACGACTTGTGAGATAATAAAAACTTGTCTAAGTGTATAAAGTACAGCTGAAAATGATGTGTTTGTTTCTGTATACTGAAGTAAAGATCTGTCCTGTATGTTGCACTTAGTGCTGAGCTTGGTTTTATGAGGCATGTCTGGAAGTAGAAATGCTTTTATCAGTAGGGATTTAAATAAAATTTAAGCTTGATCTAGTAATTCGTATAAATAACAATTACAGGAAACTAGAACTTGGCGGGTGTATCTGCAGAACGGCAAAGTGAATTTGATTTTCCTGTCACAGGTTTAGAACATGAAGTCAGAGGTGTAAGATCTTTAAATAATCTAAGAAGAGATGTTTGGAAGAATCAACTGCGTTTTATAAAATAATACCGAAGTTTGACAGTGGTAAATGTAAATGCCTGAAAGAAATCCACAGCCTGTGATGCTCAGTACTGCCACAGCGGTTTTCATTTGCGACTGAACAATATCTGTGTAAAGCTGAGTGCTGCCTTTACTTTCCTTCATTTTTCTTTGCTTGCTTCTGCGTATGAGGAAGTATGTAGTGCTTTGTTTGGGAAGGAGAGGGGACCTGGCAAGGAATTCCGCCAGAGCACAAGTCCAGGGGTGCGGGCTTTTTGCCTAAGCTTTGCTTAACACCTGGCTGGTTGGCAGGAGGTGCGAGAGCCAAGTGCTAACAACGCTGGCATCCGCCTAGGTTCAGCTGTAAGGAAGGGGGATTCTGGGAGCACTGAAGGTGACAAATGTTGCAAAGTGTGTGTGTGTATAGGTACAAAACATTGATTCTTGTGGCTCGTAAAGTAATGCAAAAAGAGAAAAGTTCATAAAAATAGGAAAATAAATACTGTTGTAATTTGCTCAACACAGAAACAGGTTTTAGCTTATTTCAAGATAGCAGAAATCTTGGCATTGTCTTCTAGTAATGTCTTACAGCTTTCCAAAGGCTGAGTCTGCATCTTCTCGTTTGCAGTCCCCAGGCATCTCCAGAGGCTCTGTCTGGATCTATCCTTTTAGTAGCCCTTTGCTTTACTCTCTGGCATTGCTTTGTCTAACCATGGTTTGATGTCACTTGTACTTAGATTACATAAATATTTAATATTTATCCCATGTATATCTCAAAATCCACAAGATCTTGGAGTAATTAACTCAATAGCTTAATTATGTGTGGTGAAAAAAAATTTGTTTCCTTTACTGAAAACTTGCTCTTATATAATTTCATGGGACATTCCTGAGTCCTCACCACTGGGAGTAATAGCCAATAGCTAATTGTCTTTCCCTGTTCATCTCCTCCACAAATGCATAAACTTCTGTCATGTCCTCTCTCTGTCCTTTTTATTCTATACTGAAAGGTCCAATTTGTTGAATCTGTGCCATGCAGGAGCTGTTATGTATCTTTATTATCCACGTCACAACTTTTTGTGCCTTTGTTACCAGAGCAGCCCAAGTACCTGTGCAGTTTATGTATGTGCAGAGCAATGCTTGCTGTTGCATTCTCCATCATTTTCTAATAATTCCTATGTACTGGTTTTCATTTTTTGGACACCTCAAAGCAATGAGTTGACTTTTTCATTGTCACTCCAAGTTTCTTTCCTAAGCATTTGTAGAAACTAGAACAATACCTCCTGGGGTACATATACGCCCATATACTTGAATAGGTGTACTTTGGCTTAATTTTCTCATTGTTACTAGTTTGTACCAGCAGATGCTCAGGTTCATTTGCCATTTTATTATCCAGTTACTCACACTGGATAAGATCTTCTGCTGTTCCTCATGGTCAGCTTTAGTTTTGACTGCTATGAAGCATCACTTCTATAATGTGCTATTCACAAACATGTTGTTTTTTGCTAATTCATTTGTGTAGCAACCTCCTTAT